ATACGGGCAGAGTAACACAAAAAACTTCAAATTGTCAAATTCACAAAAAGATATACCGGTGTGCATCATAAAGACAAAATATCTCAATACAAATTAAGAAGATCTAAGTTATTTAAAAATAAATGATATGTACGAAGCACACATGCACATCATTCACGCGCGCGTGTACACACACTTGGATAAAATAGAGCTACTTATAACGCTGTTATTGTCACAAAATGTAATTTTAAAAGTTAAAAATCATATATTTCTAACTTTTTCAATAAGATAATGCCATTATTTTTTTCGTTAGTAACGAAATTATTGCGATTTTCATGTGTGTAAGCAAAATGGCAGTTGCGAGATTATAATAGAAATTATGTAATAATTTGTGAAACAGATTCCCAAAATTGGACTAAAAAAGTAACGATAACAAATTACTTTATAAAAGGAATAAAGAGAGAGGATGTTCCATATTATCATACAATATTTTAATGCATTCTGAAAGCTAATTAGTGTCAAAAGTCCTAACGTAATAATTGTGAATCTACAATAGTTTTAAGTTACAAACGATTAAAGTTAGCCATTAATACTGATGAACTTTCATCGCTCATAATTCAAATTACTATTAACTCGCTATTTATTTATTAACTTTCAAGTCTAAAGTCTAATCTATAATATGCTCTTCGCTTCCTGTTTTTTTATTTTTTATCTTTTTATAACTAAAGGCTCAAGGTTTAAACTAGAAAGAGATAAAAAGAAAGAAACACGGGAAGTAAAAGGAGCATATTATAGATTAAACTTAAGCTTCAGATTATTCTTACAATACTGTACAATAATTGGAACACTCTGTGTGTACATGTTATACATGCATATGTATGCGCACGTATACTCACACATACAATAATTATATTAATTTAATTTCGTATTCGCATCTTTCGCTTGACGTCGTGAATAATAACGTCGTAGACACGAGTCTTCGTGTCAGAATTAAATATCGCAGCCAGTGAAACGACATTTCTCATTCTTTTTTCTTTTTTCATACAACAAATGTTTGTTTTCATAGTTAAACATTTATACATTTATAGATTATAACGCTATTGAGCACACTAATTCTACAGTTACACTTCGTTTTTACGTAAATGACCGTTGGGTTGCGCACAATACTACGAAATTTTAGTTACATTTCATTCGTTTTTTGCAATTTTGATCTTTGCGATTTGGATATATAAATATGAATAAAAGAAAATGAAATATTTACTTGATCTCCCGGAACTCTTAGCATGTATTTCGTGATACGTTTTAGTATATCCATAGCATTCATGGATTCGGAAATTGCTGTCTTTTAAAATATACATGTTAATACACAGTCGGATAAAAATTATTCATATGAAACCGAGGTTCTTAACCCTTTGTGTACGTGGATTCTTTTGGTAGCCTGATAAAGGTTCACTAACCCTTCATTATCAGAAAAAGAAATTATGATATATATAATAATATAAGTGCTTCTTTATTAACCCATTAAATATCAACATACATTTAAAATATACGCAAGCTTAAATTATAGTGAATATAATTTTCTCTCATTTAAATTCACGGATCGTATCTGCAATTTAATGACGGATCTCTCGGGAATTCACGCAGTCTGGGTTAAGAACCCTTAATATAAATAAACGTAAATGTGTGTAGTTACATTATTTTGGTATCGGGTACGATGTATTATTACTAATTCGGGGGGGGGG